ATTTCCACACTTATTGAGATACTTGAACCATTGGTGACACTAAATACTAAATTCTCATAAGAAGAATTAACATTGGAACTGGAAAGGGCTCTGCCACTATCAATTCCCACTCCCTATATCATTTTCTTATACTTCTCAAATAGCTTATAAGTCTCATCTTTCACTAGCCGCTCATATTTCTTTCTTAGTTTAGTTTTACCATCTTTGTCATGTATTGCCTTCGAACATACCCTAGTTGGTATCTAAGGTCCAACACCATTTCAATAAATATGTTCTTATTCATTTCAACTAGAGTTTCCCAATATTTGTTAAACTTATCTCTCATTTTGATTGAAAGCATGGCCAAATCTATATCACTTAACTCGTTCCATTCTTTTAACAATACATTAAGTGAACAAATTTCTGGAAAGTAAAGGTTTGAAGTTGCATACCAACTTCTTGATAGCTTCAAGATTATACAATAGAAGTGCCCTAAGAAAGCCACTAATTTTCTACAATTCTCTCGATCTCAATGAGTTGGAATAGCATTGTCTAAAGCATCCTCATGGTAAGCATCTGTAATACTCCAAAAATTTCTAGAACAATTAAGTGTGAGCTAGGGACCTAATTGTGAGAAAATAATATTGTTGAGCTTAATCATAAAATTTTCAAATTCGAGGGACTTAAAAGAGAAAAGAATTAAGATAAGAATCAGTTGATTTTTTTCTTTCTTTCTTTCTTCCTCAGCCGCGCGTTTCTGCTCTTCTTCTTCTCCCCTGCAACCGAACAAGAAGCTCCAAGCCACCGACAACACCCACCCTCTCGAGAAACGGTAAAAGCTTGATTTTTTTGTTCCTTCTTTCTTGCTCAAGAACAAGATTTAGAACTTAGAAATCTTCCCCCTGCAGAAAAATTTCAGATTTGCTTTGTTCCTTCCCCCTCCATCCACTGCTCTTGGCTATGTGGGTGTAAATTTCGGATAGAAGAAAAATAAGAATAGATGAATAAATAAATAAAGAAATAAGATTTTTTTTATGGGATTAATGGCCGACAACAAAAGGAAGGTTTAAATGTTTAGTCTATATTGAGAATAAAATTGAGATGTCCAGTCATATGGATATTAATTCTGAAATATTTTGGTTAGGTTCTTGATTATTTTGTCACCGTAGCACTTGGAGTGAGTTTTCTGTGTTATGCGATTGAGATAAGTAAATTATGGTAACGCCCTTCAATTTTAAAGTAAAAGCATATTTTAAATTGTTTTTGAGATGGTGGCAAGATTTAAATTGATTTTATTAGCACCTGAGCATGATTAGGATGGAAATGAAAAATTTTATTATTTTTTGGGGTTGAGCATGCCCACATGGAATTTTTCTGGTTTATTCTTGAAATTTGAGATTGATTGTGAATTACAGATTTTCCTGTAAATCTTACATGGTTTTGTCTCTAATATAATCATTATTATTGACGCCCGCTAATGTGAGTTTGCAAACGCTAACAAATGTCGACATGTATACCGATAGGACTGGTTCATTATGTAATCCTGCCAATGGGATAATACATTGGTTATTACTGACGCTTGCCAATGGGAGTTTGTTAAACATTGGCCATGACTTATAGAGGAGACTACTACTGAATCTTATTCTACATTAATGGTTTATCATTGAACGTTTTGTTATCTTAAATTATTTATCAGGCATGCTTAAATTTTACTCACGAGCTATCCACATGTTTACTTACTGAGATGTCTTATCTCATAGTTTTCCTTGTCCAGCATTTTAGGAAGTGAGACTCAAGGCACGGTTAATTAGGGGGAGTGACGACCTAGAAGGCTAGTTAGTATTTTGGACTCAGATCCTTTTTGGACTTAAGCCGTTAGCCACACATGCTTGACATAGATGTGAAATGATTAATCATTTTTTTGTATATTGAGTTTCCCTTGGTTAAAGCCATGACTGTTTTATAAACTTTTGTGCATTTTGACTAGTAAATTTTTGGCAATTATGAACACAGTAAGTTCTGAGCCTTGTGTATTTGTGGGACCCGTTCACAAGTACACGACGTCTGTTTTGCTCCTGGTTTTGGGGTGTGATAGCATCTCTTCTTGCAAAGCTAAGAGGTAAAACATGAGAAAATAACATAACTTATCAAATTCATACTATAAGCAGGAAAGGGAATATTATTTACATTAAAATAAAAATTGAAATAACATTAAAAATAAACTAAAAATTGAAATAAAATTACAACATATCGAATGCAAGCTCATACTTTTCGGCAACTTTCAATATTAAGTATAAAGAATTCCATCTAGTTGGAATGTCTAAGGATAACATTTTCTCGCATTCAATCTTCTCAAACTTTGCACATTCAAAGAATAGTTTCTGCCTCTTTTGACTTTGCCTTACATATCATATTGTAGCCCTAACAAAAGTAACAGATGGTTACATGTATTTGAATCCATCATTAACCACCAAATTGATGATGTGGGTGGCACACCTCATGTGCAAATCTTTCCATCCAAGAATACTAGTTGTCCACTTTTGCAAGCACTTTTTCAAGTGTCTAACCAGTCCATCATTCACATTAGCATTCTCTAAAGTAATACAATACACTTTATCTATCCCTTACTTGCTAAGACATCTTTTAAGCATATCACCTAATGCATCACCTTTATGACTATCAACGAGAACAAAAATTTTTTTTTTTCAACTTCCAATTACCATCAATCCAATGAGCTGTCACACACATATGAGAAACCCCTTGCAATGATGTTCATATATCAGTTGTTAAAGATATCCTTTGGTTTCCATTCTTAAAGTATGTTTTCAAATCATTTTTCCTTTTAGAGTAATTGCTTAAAATATCTCTTGTGATAGTCTTCTGAGAAGGGATATTAAATAAAGGACGAGCTACTTGACAAGATTTTATAAATTAGCATGTTCAATAAAAGAAAATGGAAGCTCATCAACAATAAGCATCTCAACCAATGCTTTCGTAACTTTTTCATCAAATTACCGTGATGTTGTTGTCAACTAAGTTACTTCTTTACCATCTACATCATTAGCCACTAACACTTTTTAAACATTTGTTGAACCTTAACATTCATAGGATTTGTTTTGTAGCTATTATAATGGCTTTTCAATGGAGTAATTCCATTGGTTCTAAGCTCAGTAGCCAAATCATTCCCACGGAAATGACATGTAATCCTAGTCTTACCATTCTCATCAATAAATTCATCAAAAAATTTTCATACCCATGCCTTGCACTTCATAACTTTTCTTTAGATTGAAAAGGATGGTCCTGTAGCACCAACACTACTCTTTGTTTAGTTTGATTTGTCATTTGTGCTTACATCGGTAGTGTTCTTTATTGCATTGTCTGTTGCAGCTATTATGCTTGAGTTTGTCTCCCTTAACTTCTTAATATTCTCACTATTCTCCATCCTTACAAAGAAGCATAACATAAGCATAAATAAGCTATTCAAACAAATTTCCTAAATCTACCAAATTGAGAAAAACCTATGAAAAACTTACTATTTAAAGTTTCAAACAAATCCCCTAAATCTACTAAACCTAGGAAACTAAAAAGCTTTTGATTTTAAGAAATAATAAAAACCAAACCTTGAAGTATAAAGAGACAAAGCCAATGAAAAACTTAGCTATTCCTATTCAAACAAATCCACTAAATCTACCAAACCCACAAAACTAAAACTGTAGCCTTTGATTTTAGGAAATAACAAAAATCATGCATTTGTTTCTAAGAAATAATATAGTAAGGTTGAATCGATGAAGTTGTGAAGATGAAGAATATTAAAAGGATGGATTTCTTAGATTTCTTTCAAATTTTCAAGTGAGTTAAAGAATCAAAAAGGAAAGAAAAAAAAAAAGAAGAAATTTCACTCACCGAAGCGTAAAGGATGGAATTCAAGTAAGGAAAGAAGGTTTAATTAAGTTTGGAAGCTAGGGTTTTCAGAGGAGAAATGGGAGAATGAAGAGGGAAAAGGAGAAAATGAGTTATGGTGAAAAAGAAAAAAAAGCCCTAAATGAGTATTTATACCCTTTTTAATATTTTGGTTATTTCGGGTCTATTAAGAGGCACTATTCAGTTATTTGATTATAAGGACTTATACCAAAACTATACACAAAATAGTTTGGGTACAAACCAAATTATCAATATCCAAACTGAAATCCAAACACCAATTTTTTTTTTTTGGTTATTTCAGATTCAGAAATTCAGTTAATTTAGTTAGAATTGAATAGTGCCCACCTTAACAATAGAATGTAAACCTTCTAATAAACAATCAAACAATTGAGTATAAGTTCTTGATTTATTTGACAAAAATTGAACCAACCTAGGTGAGATTCATCTTCCCTTGTGGGATTTCAAGACCAAGTGGCGAACTGAGCTCTGAGATCTATTGTGGCCTTTTTTCGACTTTGTCATAAAGGTAACAAATCAAGTTGCTCTTTCATAACTCAAATGCATATGTTTTGTCAAATAAGCTTTGAAATTGCTATAATAAGTGTAGAGGGCTTTGAATTGCTGATGTTGGAGATTAATTAATCTCTGAAGATTCCTTCTGTTGCATGCCAAATCAATATCATATAGTGGAGAAGGCATGACCTTTGAAGTAATTCACTGGCCATAATTCCATCGTTAGAAGTATAGCATCAACAATTAGTTAATAGTTTCTATGGTTATTTAAGCCAAGAAAATAATAGCCAAAACCAATATGAATAACAAAATTCAATCAAGACAACACAACCAAAATGAACCTCTAATGGAAAATACTATAGAATAATAATTAGTAAATTAATTTGAGATGATAACTACTTTATTGAAATAGTCTATTAGCGATATTTAAAAAAGACAAACAATTTTTTTTTCAATTTCCTCATTTTTAGAAAAATGATTTATAATAAGTTACAAATTTAAAATATAATATAACTTTATCTAACTCAGAGGCATTTGGTAGTTTATAATTCTCTTATGCTATATATGCCCCCTACATTATAAGTAACCTAAAAAATATTACAAACTAAGAAAGATTATTAAACAAAAATATGTGAGTACCTTACTATCCCTTTTGTTCTCAGGTTTTAGCCAAATATTAAAATTTAGCATGAAATCATTACACCCTAAGCTTACAAACACACTTATGAGTCATCTTTAACATTTGTTCAAAGTAAAGGAGATCAAGGAGCCTTCTAACACCTTAATATTAAAAGGTTCAAAATAAAAACTTACTATTATACTCATACAATCTAGAGGTTGCAACAAAATTTCATCCATCATATCGTAAAATGAAACAAACCCTACTATTGGATGGATGACACTACATTAAGGACAACATGAAACCCCATTTATGAAGGTATAAAGTTGCATCATAAGACAATACAAACCCTCACTATCAAAGAGATGAAGTGACACCAAAAGGCAACATAAGCCCTCACAAAAAAATAGATAAAGTAACATGTACAAAAAAATGAACAACAAGTAATAAAGAACTCTAACATTGCATGGACAAAGTCATCCATACAACTAGGTTTTTTTTTCCTCTCTTAGGGAACTAGGGCTCTTGGGATGTACCTCATGTAATATCCCAAATTTTCGGGAATTTTAGCATTTAGTTAAGGACTTGATTGTGAGGAAATGCTGTTTTGGGACTTAATAGCAAAATTTTTAAATTTCAAGGGGCTTAAAAGTGAAAGATATTAGGATAAGGATCGGAGGATTTTTCCTTCTTCCCAGCCTTGTGCGTTTCTGCTCTTCTTCTCCCCTGCAGCTCCCGAAAGCCCCCAAGCTGCCGACTTCCATACTTGAAAGAAAAATCGGTAAGAAGCTTGAGATTTTCCCTTCTTTTCTTGCTCAATAACAAGATTTAGGACTTAGAACTCTCTCTCTCAACCCATAATTTCCAGATCTGCTCTGCTCTTCCGCCCCTGTCCGCGAGCTGCAGCTTGTTGTGCGAATTTCTGGGCATTTTTCTGGTAAGCCACAGCCAAGAAATCATCTCTTTAGCTTTGATTTGGCTTGGGTTTACTTTAATTCCTCTTGGTCCTCTCAATTTTTGGTAGCCCGTGAGTTTCCCCTGCACTTCCCGCCGGCTCCTCCCCAAACTGCAGCTCCGGTTTTTGCTGCTAAATCCTAGTATGATGGCCACTTCTCTAAGTCCTAAATTACTCATTTAATTGTTGCCATGTTGAGTTTTAATGGTTGAGTTGCTACCTTGGTGTTGTCCGAAAATTCTGTTGAAATAGGGATAAATTCCGACAGCCTTGAACATGTTTTAAGCTTGGTTTAGCTAGAGAAATTAGCTTGATTTGGGCTGTTGTGATTTTGGAGATAATGCCACAAATTAGTTATTGTTTAGCCAATTTTGGAAGTTGCAATTACTGTTCACGCACTGGCCAACAATTAACGGGGATTTAAATGTTTAGTTTGTAATATAAGAACAAATTTGGAGATGTCCGATCATATGGAGACTAATAGAAATAGCATTGTGATTAGGGGTGATCCTAATGAAGTTTTCACTTTGAAATTGTGATAGTATGGTATTAATTCTTGGATTTTTTTATTAGGTTTCACATCGTTCTGTCAGTTTAGCATTGAGATTGAGTCTTCGGTTTTATGCGAGTGAATTTCTATGTTATGCGATTTGAGGTAAGTAAATTTATGGTAATGTCCGTACAGTTTTTAAAAACATGATTTGACTTGTTTTTGAAGTGGTGGTGGGACTAACCCGTTTTATACAAAAGTAAGTATGATTGATTTGAAGTAAAATTTTTATGTTTTTCATTAAATTGAGCATGCTTTCTTGAAATTTAATTGATTGTCCTGATGATTTGAAAGTGATTGGTGAATTATGGTTTTTCTGTTAACTTTTGGCTGTTTTGTCTCCGATGTGGTTATGTTATTAGTGACTCTACTAGTTGGGGAGTTTATAAACGCTAGCATATGTCGACATGTTATTGATAGAACCGGTTCGTTCGAGTGACCCTGTTAGTGGGGTTTATACACCAGCAAATAGTGCGCCTGCCAGTGGGTGGTTTATAACACTGGCCATGACTTATAGAGGAGACGTCTATTTCGTTCCCATACTGTATCCGTTTTTCGTGATCATACTTGTTGGCATGCTATAAGTTTAATTAAGGGCTATTCATATTTTACGTACTGAGTTTATTTCATAGTTTTTCCTTGTCCACCATTTCAAGAAGCGAAACCGAGGACAGGGAAACCACAGGAAGTGACAAGTTAAAAGGCTAGCCATTTGGAGATTGATATAGATTTTAGAAATAAATCATGTTTTTGTAAGATAGATTTTACCTTGAAATTTTATGGTATCAAAACAGATTTTATGAGAGTAGATTTTTGCGATATGATTTAAGTTATTGGATTGTCAGATGCGAATTGGATAAGTTCCGAACCTTGTGCATTTGTGGGACCCTCTCATGAGTGTACGGCGTTTGTTACGCCTTGGATTTGGGTTTTGGGGCGTGACACCTCAATTACACATGTTTTTTAAATTTTGTTTTATAATTCTTTTCTTGTACTTTTGGTGTAAACTAACCACTATAATATGGTTTAGTCAAAAATAAAATTCACGAAAATACATGTGAGTGAGACATTTTAGGAAAATGATTTGGGGATAATTTTTATGTCTAATTTTTTTATGCAATCTTATATGTATTAATATTAACTCTTTTTACTTTAGTGAAACTCATGATATTATATATATTTATTTAATAACATGTAAAAATTGTAAACAAAAATTGTATACATAAATTGTCCACGTCATTATCTACTATTTTATTAATGTTTTGTTGTTAAGCTAGTTTCCTTATCTTATTTCCTCTTTCTCTCTCGCATTGGAGGGAAGGGAGCTATTGTTGACGTGCCACAATGGATGAAGTCACCATTTATTCAAATAAAGTGGGATAAATCACCAAAGTATACGTAGAAATCGATCGGAATTTGAGGGTCAATTAAGTGTGGGGAAGGTGTTAGGCACCCCACAACTTCCATAGAAAAAACAATTGTCACATACTTAAATTTTGGGGTATTTATAATTAAACACAATAATAACATTTCAATTGATTAAAAGAACCTAACAAAAAAAAAAAAATGCATGACTTGATAAACCTTGATTATGCTAATTTCTCTTTAAATATATCCCAATGTCTTCTTTAAAATTAGTAAGCCTTCTATAATAAATTTCACATATTAAAATTGAAGTGGACTTTCAAAATAAGCAAATTCAAAACAAACTTGGCAAATAATAAGTATTTCATCATAGTAACCTTAACAAACTACTGACATTTATTTAGATTGTTATAATGTTTTTGAATCTAATACTCCCATCATCAAACACAATATCCTCATGATGTTCAATGACTCTTTCAAATTTAAAATTAAATCCAAATCAATTACAAAATCTTATATCCCAAACATATAATTAAAATTATATAGGTTAACTCCATAGAAGACCATTATATCAAATTCAAGAGTCTTTGCAGCAAGTCTTTACTATACTGAATTTATATAACAAATAAAAGAATAAACACTTGGCTTATGCTGGACTACCCATACTATTGCTCACGCATATGTAAAATAAAATCAACAATTGAAAAGTTTGCACACTTGTAAGGAAGCTGAAAATTCAAAGCTTTATTGTTTTGAAATTCTAAATACAAGCTTCTCCCATTCTTTCCTCTTCGTCTCACACCTTCTTCGTCGACTCTCAATATTTGCTCCCAAATTCCTCCCTTTTCTCTCTACCTCGAGACCCTTTTTTGTACACAAAGGATATAAAATCCAAACCCTTCACGCTAATTCTAAACCTAATCTCAAATCCCTAAATTATAGATAGTAATCTAATCATACTCGAAATTGGAATTTCAAAAACTTAGTTCTTCATGCATCCTCCTTTAAGACTGGATTCATACCTTATAGCAATTGAAGCCCCCTGAGTTTGAATCAAATTCGAAACCTTCCTCCTTGTAATCCTTCATTCTTGATAATGACTTCAAATCTAAAAATTTCTTCATGCTAATGCCATGATTTATCTAAACTTGAGTAGATTTAAGGATAAACCAAGAAGGATTTGTGAATTTTAGAGAGTGGTTGGTGGTAGCAAAAGATATCGTAAGTTTTGAAAGCTAGGGTTCAACTGAACCCTAGCCTTTTATTTTTAGTTTAGCTCAAAAGTAAAATAACGTTGTTTTGCCAACTCTTTCTTTTAGTCTTTTAAATTTTATGCTTTTACAAAATGGTCTATTAGCTTTCAATCTTATTATTTAACCCTTTGTTAAAATTGAGTTATCACAGTTACTTGTTATTGTAAAGATTTGAACCTTTGACCTTAATATTAAATCAAGGCTTGTTAGTTAATATATACCAACTCAACTAA